TTTCTTTTTCCTTGATGAATTTAAACAATATTTACGTACCGTGTGAGTCTCAGCTTTAGATGAACAGAGACATAGATCAGCAGGCAGATGAAGATGAGGAGGTAGGTGCCATAATAAATTGCATTTTCTATAAGAGCTGTTTTAACCTTCCCAACAATGGAGAAAGCACCAGAACGTGCATAGGACTGCATGAAGGGCAACAGCAGCCTGAGCAGTCATGCACAGAGGAAACACATGTATTAAATATTTATAAATAAATCCATATATATTTATTTTTCTCTGGACTTCATTAAAAGTGTAAGTCTCAGTCTATCTTAAGGTCCTGGATGATTAAAGGAACTCACCACGTAAGAAACTGGGAAGTCCAATAGACAACCCTCCAAAACACTGGCAGGACATGATGCGGGATGTAACTCCAGGGCTTCACACACACATTTGCTACACTGAAAGTAAGCAAACACACACAAAGTCAGATAAAACAAAGATAAAAATGCTCGCAACAGCTTCGTAAACTTGGATTTGGAATAAAACATATATTGCAGTATGGCATTCGGCTCTGCAGTGTTGACACCAATTGGGGGAGAAAATTCACTTGGAATGGGACGACTTACAGCATGACAGACCCTGACTGTCTGCCGTTCTTACATGTCCTAATAATACACAATAGTTACTAAATAAAAATTGGAACAATCTAAAATTTGTATCAGCTGGTCAAAGGTTTACAAAAATATAGTATTAGAAAAAAGCCTCAAGTTTCTGATCAGTGCATCTCAAATAAAAAGCTTGTTAGAATTTCCATTTTGACAACTTCAGGTAATTAGGGATTTAATACACATTTTTGGTTAACATTCCCAAAATCAGAAGTAGTTAAGAGTATTGTACCAATTGTAAATTGTAGATAGTTTCAAAAGCTTAAAGTGGATAAAAGCGCTTTACTGAGGCTGACTATATGGTTCCCCTACATTTTTTTTTTTACTAAATGTTGTGTTTAACTAAAAAGTAACAAGTTATTATGTTGGAGGAACCACCAATTGAAGGATCATTCTGACTCCGACCTGAAAAGAAATGAGATGATCAATGTGAGAAATACTACAATAGCTGAGTTTACCTTGAAGGCTGTAAAGGAGCTGAATCAGAAAGTGCACCTTTGGTTTCAGAGGGAGTGTGGTTTGAATTGTCATGAATGCACTGGTTGTAGATGGTCTAAGAAAAGAGCAACGGAAATATAATGACACAAACACATTTGATGTACCCAAACAATGAAACGTGCTTGTTAATAAATTTTAAAAGTTTCAGGCAAACATGAACACCTACCATGCTGACATCAAGTGGGAGGATGAAAACGATGAGGAAGCAGAGGTACCAGGACAGAAGCGTCCCTAGGAGGACGAGACGATGCTGTTTCCTCAAGTCTCCATAACGATGGAGAAGGTAGAAGGCCATGAAGAAAACCACAACAACCACAGCACACAATCCAGCAGCAGACATGCCGATAAGTAATCAAATCATATGTGCAAACGTCATGATGACAGTCAGTCTGCTGGGAACGAAGAGACAGAGAGAAGGAAATAAGACGGGAACTCATTATTACAGGACATCAGCTCTTATCTCCAAGAGAGGAAGACTAACCAGCCTGATGTCATTACTCAGTACATAAGGGCTGGGATGAGTAAAGGAGAAGAGGGAAACCAAAAATGAGGAAGGTAAAAAAAATGCAGGGTACCAACATAGATACCAACATAAAGTTCTAATGCTGAAACTAACAGCAAACATAAAAACGTGGGGAAAAGGATACCAGAAATAATGGTACTTTAACATGCTTTGTACCTTGGAAACTGATTTGGATACGGGAAAAAAAAAAAAAACATGCTACCACCCTTAAGTTTTACCGTTAATTTTATTAACGTTAATGTTGTTGTCGCTGCTATTGTTTTTTAAAGTGTTTACAAAGCTAACTAGATTGTTTTATTTAATCACTGTGCTAACATTGGACTTCATGAACAATAAAGTCTCAAGAGGTCTAAAAATGCCTTTAGAAAGCTAAATCTTACCTTTGAAGACCTTGTCTGGGTAAAGTTAGCTGACAGTTATGTTCCGTTTTTTCCCTTCCAACTCCGACTGTTAGACGAAATCTTCGAAACCACATTGCGTAACGGACGTATTTTAGGCGCCCCAACGTGCGTCAACACAGCAAGGGATGCAAGGAATTGTGGGTATTGTAGGATTCGTTCGCTGACTGTGATCATGTTCCCAGATATTTCTCTATTATGACGATTTATTTTCAACATATGACTTGAATCTTCTCAATACAAAATTGTCTCCAATTTTTAAGGATCAAAGCTACCAAGTAAACATGCAGCTCATTCAAGTACAGCAGCAGATCACATGGGAAAACAGAATTATAACATAACAGGTCGTCTCCTATATTCATATCTTGTCCATATGTCTTCTTTTTCGTTTTGGTACATAGTGGAGAGTGTACCTCTCAGTCTAAATGATTTCCAGGCAGTAAACTTCAAACATACATAAAAAGAAACTGAAATAAAAACATTGTGAGTCTGTTTCATGACTGGAGCAAAAGCCACAGGCATGGATCGTCTGCGTAGAGTGGGCCCAGTATGTTAAAACAAACTGCATGGTGTTCCAGCAAAAGATCCATGTGGCACAGTACATCCAGGAGCAGAAGTTCTGCAAGATTTAGAGAGTGAGTCCAGTTTTCCGCTGTTCTGGAAATACCCAATGTTTCCAGCCAAACTGATCCAAAAATGTCCAGAGATTCTGTCCAGTCCTCCAGAATATATCCCAGTAGTTCCATCTGGTCCACAAAACTGTTTTCAATTTCACATGTAGGCTCAAATAAACCAGTTTACTCAAAGGAGGAATGTTCCACACTCGGTTTGCTTCGTTTACCCATGTGGGGCAAATCACTTTTCCGTGTTTCTCTGATAGTTTTTGTCTGCTGTTTCTGCATTACCAGGCTGATTGGTAATGATCTGAGCTGTCACAGGACAGATAAAATCCACTGACAGGTGCTTAGGGAGGCCATCTGTTAACCTGCAGTCCCAGCCTATCAAACCTCCTTACACAGATTAGAGGTAGTAGGTGTTTGACCATTCAAGCCCACAACGTTCAACCTTATGTCCTGAAGGATTCTTATTGAGAACCTCACATGACTGAGACGTGATGCTTTCCTATTCTTTCTGATGAACTCAATCCATGACTGATAAAGAATCAATAGACTGATTACCTATTCTATATTGTACGTTTTGCTACGAGTCATTGTCATCTAAACAGCAGGGAAGTAAAGTAAAAAAGGAAACCTATTAGTTGTGGATTTATTTTGAAACTAAGAAAAAAAATTGGTTTAAAAACAGACATTTTGTTACACAAATATGTATTTGTTTATTTAAAGGCTGGAAACAACCTTTTCTTTTTGTTTGTGTCTGTACGCCATCATCTGTGATCCCAGTTATCCTCACCATGAACTGCTCTCTTTTTGTAATCTTCGAGGCCAGTATGAGCAGATTCTGAAATTTTCATCCCTTGAGCCATTACACGCTTGAGTTCCTACTAGTTCAGGGCAATCTCATGTGCACAATGTGTTAGAAGAGGAAAATTCACAGCTTCCTGCTTACTGCAGAATACGCTTGTGTCTATTTCATCATGTTTTATGTTTTCATTCACAATGTAATTATACCAGTAAGTATTCAAATATTCAAGCTTTTTAACATTTCCCTAGTCAATTCTTTTCTTATAATCTGTTTACCATTAGGTCAATGTGATTATTTATTTAAACTCTTAGCTAAAATCTTTTAATGTTATAATGTAGCTATTCTATTCTATTCTATTCTATTCTATTCTATTCTATTCTATTCTATTCTATTGGATTCTGATTAACTATAAAGACACTAATCCTGTGCAGTTGTCACCGCTAGGGGGAGGCAGTGTTATTCCTCAAGATTTCTTTTTCCAATCCGAAGTCTTGTAGCAAATGTTGTAGCAACATTTAAGGAAAATTGTATGTTTACAGTTGCAAATAACTATACCATTATATTACCCAAATTAAATTATTATTTTTGGGTAATATTGATATTTATTAACAAAATTAGGCTATTTCATTGATACTCTTGTATTCGCCATGTACATTAAAAGAAGACTATAAATCCCTGAAAGCAATAATCTGAAAGGCAGTTTTGATATGATGACAGCAAACCTTGATAAAGTGACATGATAATCTTCTGTTCTTCATGTTGCTGCCATATTTTTGCTTATTCTTTTGTCTCTTTAGTCTTTTATAAAGCTGGTTTTCACTTTGAAGTTGTGTCAAGTTCAAATCTTTGAGAAGATCTTTTAATAAAGTTCTGATCAGGTTTCAACTTATCCCCATTGGGATCAAAAAGTACACAGCATTTGAGAAGCTTAAATGTTGTATTCATTGAACCTAATACTTTTGATTGAAAAAAGTACACTGAAATTGTATTCCTGTTTACTTTGGAAGGCTTCCAAATGCACTTTTCATTAGGCATAAACTATTCACACAAATTAAGACATATAAAAATGTATGTGATCTTACTACGTATTACATAATGAAGCAATTCAATTTAAGTTCTGTTTACAGCAATTCACATGGCATCTCAAGTCACTTTACAAAAAAATTGTGTTCTATCCAATCATACATTCACTCCAAATGATCCTATTTAAACAGTCCACTATTGAAATTTAAAAAAAAAAAAAAAAAAAAAAAACGAACAAAAAATGTTTTCTATTTAAGGAAATTCACTCCTCCAGAATGGGCATGTAGTGACAGTAGACAATTCCTTGAATTATGTATTTTCCAGGCAGCTAGTACCACTTTATAGCATAATCAAGTAACTATGTTACCTTCAGCTGTTCTAAAAATGCTATATATTAAAAGAGCAGCAAAAACAAAAAAATAAATTTTACTTTCTTTGAAATTGGACCTGTCTCTTTAAAAGCTCCTGCTCTTTCTGAAACTCTGCCTTCAGTAAGTCATCACAACAGCGCTCCTCTATTAACCATTTAACAATGTTTCTACTAGTGTTGCATTGAGAAATAGCTCCTATAATGAGCTCATTAGATGCGCAATTACAAAAGGTGGTTTGCTAATTGCTTCTGGCGAGTCTGACGGTGTTGAGTTGGGGGAGCCATGGGGTTGGGCTGCTCTGTAAGGCAGAAGTTTGGAAGCTAACTGCAGCTTTAAGGTGGAGCTGTGCCTTGAAGGTGGTGCTTAGGACCAACCATTCGTTTTGGACAGCTGAATAGTTGCCATGGGAGATCAAAGGAATTCACAAACATGCAAGAATCAAGGCAACGCCCCAGGTATGTTATAATATGAAATGTACATCTAAAAAAGTTGATTTTAAAGGATACTGCCTCTTTAAAGGCTTTAGGATGGAAGAGAGCACAAGCAGTTAGCTGCAGCAATAACTTTGTCTAGGAAAGAGTCAAGATGAAACAGTGACAGTCTTTCCACTTTTAGGTGATGGATTGTACAATCAGATTCTCAAAGCGTGCAATAAAGTTTTATAACTTACATCAACTTCAACCTTGTGCAGCCTATTCCCTGACTCATCTGCTGTGTTTCTTGTTCTCTATAATGCTGTTGTTCTCTGGCGAACATCTGAGGTCTTCACAAACTACCGGATTTAAGCTAATGTAAGCTTATGTACTGGCCACTTTAATTACTAATAAAGTGACATCTGTATTTTATTTCAATACAGTCCATAAAAGTTTGAGGTCGAAACATGATAAAATGTGAAATGTTCAAAACGGTGTGAATGCTTTTGCCGGGCACTTTAAGCTAAAGCAGGCAGAAATAACAGGGTTTTTTTGGTAAAGATTATAGGTCAATGTTGTGTTTTTGCTGCTCTTTGACCAAACACAGATGACCTTCAACAACTAGAGCAAATGCAATTGCAAAATCTGTGCGCCAGCTGTTTTGTTACCTAAAGTGAACTGCTGCAGAATTGATTCACAAACTTTATATTTGATTTTATCTTGAGTTTTCAGCCACGTTATCTCAAGTGATTTCTTATGAATTTCAAATGAAGTTGCTTTCTTTCCAGCTCTTTTCATGCAAAGATAGTTTGAAGAACTGGCATCTGAAAATGAAATGACAAATTTAGTTTTTCTGTGCAGTGAGCTTTGCTGCTTTTAGCCACTATGTAACAGTAATACGGCATTTCAGTCTTCCTCTGGGTATTTTGCTGCTGCTTTATTTTCCCTTTTTCCTATTCTGCTAAAGCATCTCCCCTTTTTCTTTCTTCAGCATCCAGATGATGAGCCACGGTGACTGTGTCCAACGAGGCCTCGTTCAGATCAGTGAGAAACCGTGTGTGAACAGTCCTGTCTCCCAGCGTGCTCATTGAGCAGCTATGAGACCTCTGGGTTTGAAGTTTTCAACATTTGATCCATGGGAAACCCTTGCAGACAATGATGCTGGTTAACAATGTAGCCCCAGTTCGGAGTGTCCCCTGAGAGCCTCTGCACACTGCAGATCTTATGACCTGTCCTGGATACATCTCCCCACTGGGAATGGACCACTCCCATCTGGCTTGGTACACTATCTAGGAGAAGGTAGAGTTACATACTCTTTCTGGTACCGAGACTTGGGCCACGGTTGTTGTTCATGGATAAAATGTGTGTTGGTATGCGTGGATATGAAGGTGGGCTGAGGGGATTTAAAGCAGAACTTGGTTACATAATCCCCCCTTTGGCTACCAAACCATGACTTATTTTAAAAGTTTGCATTAAGTTGCAAATAAAATATTTCTCAATGCTGTATAATTTGATCAAGTTGGAACGGAAATTAACTTTTCTTCATTTCGGACTAAATACAAATATTTACTTTTTCTGTCATGACTTAGAAAAATTATGTCAACATTGGAAATCTTCTCTGTGATCCCAGCTCTCCTTCTGACGCCTTTAACAGAATAATCGACAATCAGTCCACAGACACTCACGCCAAGAGTTAACAAAATAAACAGTTTAGTTCAACGTTCCACCCATAATTGGTTTAACTTATGAGTGCAGACCTCTGATGGTGTAATTGCTATTGTCACTTACAGAATACAGAGTCTGTTTGCTATAAAGCAGGATAGTTAAAAAAATAAGATGAAAAGGGAAATGAGATGTACTGTAAATATAGATGTTTTTTTTTTTTTTTCTAAATCAAATTCTTTCTTTGTAATTAATTCTGATGGGTTAAGAGATTTTCGGGTAATTGGATTTTCTCATAAAACATCAGTAATAAAAAAAATATATCAAACACGTACTAGCAACAAGGTTTTATTTGGTTTAATTTTCTTTTTATATCTGAAAACAAAAACCCATAACTCTTTGACAAAGGGAAACAAAACATTTTGCAATTGTCTCACTCTCTGTTGCCCTCGACGCCTAAACAAGTAAAGTAAATGCTTCAGCCCATGATATGGGCATTGATCAGCAACACTGATCAATGCCCATATAAAATATGGGCATTGATCAGTGTTGCTTTAACACAGAGCTCACAATGTGATAGAAAAATGTGATTAAACTAAAAATAATTTTTCAAAAAAATTATCCAAATATAAACTCATCATGACAGAAGAAACAGCGCCTCCTACAGCGGAAGTATACAATAATTGTAGTGCCTGTTTGGGAATGTGTCAGAAGTCAGATTTTTTTTTTTTTTTGCTTCTCTTTCATTATGAGTTTTAAGAATATATTTGTATTTAGAATCCTCATCCACATAGATACAAAAATCGATTTCTGGTTATTCGTTTTTAAGAAAATTTTTGATTGTATTCACATACATAAATGGGAAAACTTTTTCCAAGTTTATGTTTATTATTTGCATAATGGGCATAGTTCCTTTTTACTCACTATTTTCACATATTATTTTAAAAGAGCTGTAGCAGAACAGTGTCACTGTTTTGATTGAGCTCTTTAAATAAAAATGTGTCTGAGTTTTTCTCAGTCTATGTATTTATACATAAAATATTTTACCCAATTCCTACAAGAACATGTTTTATCCCAACAGAAAATAATTTGTATTTAAATTTGACAAATATATTTTAAAACAAAAATGTACAAAACAGTAAAGGTTTTTGGTTTCAATCCATGGTTTCTGAGACTAAAACATGGAGACACTAAAATCTCAGTGCTTAACCATTTTATTGAGGATTTATATCAATGAACTACTTCTCTAATTCTTGTGAAAGTTGGGTTATTTTTGGAACACAGTAAACAGTTTCAAATCGTATAAAGAGAAAGCCAAAAGGGCTTCAGCAGATATAGAAACCTGCACCTTTGAACTCACTTAACCAGATGCTCTTCTGTTTATTGTGTTGTCTTAAGATAAACTAAACTAAGTTAGACTAAGTTAAACTGAGCCAGTCTAAGCTAAAATGTGCCCTGCTGCCATTTAAATCATCATATAAGCAATAAAGTGATCAAATTGTGTCATTCTTTTTTCCGAATGAAAATGGGTTAAGAGGTGTTTCAGAAAATCTTCACATACTCAGTTAGCAGTTTTAAATAAAAGTTTTGTGATACGTTCAACATCCATTTTTTGTAGTTTGGCTCGGTGAATTATGTTAGCAATATGACAGTCACTCTGTGGGTCTCTGTTCTGAAGGGGTGGAATAGTGATAACAAATTAAATTTTTTATTATTAAATAAAGAAAGTCAAGAGTTTGGCCCTGTCGCATCTGGTGTTGTTCATACGATGTTCAGGGAGAACTTTTGCTATTAACTCTTGATGTAGTCCACATGAAGCTGAAATACAAAATGTGATCACAGATTAAAGACGGATTCACTGCCTGCATGCTGGCTCAAGAATGTCACCATAAGCTCATGACTGAACCAACAACAATGAAAGTAATGGATGAATCCTCTTAAAAATATTTACATTCCTCCCACAAAAATGTGGTTAACATGCAGTAACATGTATGAAGCTGAGGCCACTGCCGAAGCAACTATATGTTAAGACAAGTTTTCTGAAAATAAACCTGGACATTTGTGACCAGTTGCAAGATTTGAAGAAGAGCTTTTTGAAAGAAATTGTTGGACCATCCTCGATTTCCTTCATTGTTGTCTCTTTGTCCAAACAAATAAAGCAGCAAGTTTAAAAATCGGATCAGCAGCATTGACAACATAACATCAGACATTGCATTCTATGTGACTCGGGCTAAAGCCGAAGTGTTGAAAGAAGCCGTTCAGGGTTTCTGAAACCCAGGAGATGATAGACAGGGATTCTGATAGATTACATGTCAAGGACATTCATAAACAGGAATCAATTTTTGTGCTCAAAACCAGCAATGCTCACCCTGGAGTCTCGGCTGAATGATGATTTAACCAACAGCTAATTGTACTATGGTATAATTTCACTGCCTAAAAAAGGTTTTATCTCTGTTTGTTCTCATTGTTGAATTTAGAGGTTGTCTAAATATGAACTATCTCCTAACAATCGCATACCCTCAGATCAATCTTGTCTTTTTAGTTTTCATTTCAGAGCTCTGTTGGAGAACATTAGAGAAGAAACGGCATTATAAAGACCACAGAAGACAGATGATAGGCCAGGAATAAAGTTAGAGAGATGGATGTAAAACAATATCCGTGGCTTTAACATCTCAAAGCATCCCTGTTTTTTTACACTCATTTGAAATGTATTGACTGTGAAATAACTGTAAACTAGCAGGCCAGGCAATGAGTGCATTATTTAGAGAGCCAATGCTAACTCAGCCACTGGCAGGGCCCCCTGCATGAAAGAATGTTAGCTTTATAGTTTGGTAGCAGCCACGTAGGTTTACAACAAATATGAGGAAGACGATGCAAAATACTCTGTGAGGCTGAAAACTAGCATTGCACATCACCCTACACAGAATCACCACCATGACAGAAGTGGTGCCAGTATAAGGCTGCTGGGATGATTGTTCTCATGGCAAGATGGACACAGGACAACTAAAGAAAACCTCTTAAAACTACAGTAGATAACTTTTATAAAGTTAAGTTGTCCCTATGTCCTGACAGTAGAATACGAGACAATCTGTGAAAAAATTAAACTCCTCTGTCTCCTCCCT